AAGCATAAAATAAAAAATCCTTACACGTCATATGACGTCATATAATAAGTAGCCTATATGAAGTCAAAAAATCAAATGACGTTAGAAAAATTGTTTTAATAGTATAATTTTATATTGTACGATTTATCGTTTAAATGATTTGTAATTAATCAAATAATTGATGAAATAAATAATTGTTCTACTGTACACAACGAAAATCTTTGAAAAACGAATGGACCATCTTGATAAGCTTATACAGGGTCCAGAAGATGCGATTGTCCCTTCCGTTTTTAAAAGACTTTCGCTGTTCTAATGGGCCTGTCTAAAACGCGGACGCCTTAAGCGGACAATATAAACATATAGGGAAAACGCTGACAATATAGACAAAGAGGAAATAAAGTTTCCTTTTAAAAGGAAAGGCTTGCACAGTTGTGCTTCATCCCAACCCTTTAAAATTGTTCTTTTTTGGGGGGGGGGGGGGGGTTCAATTTATTATCACTTTTTTTTTTTGAATTACGGTATTTGTATATCATAAAGGGATTATTTAGTTGGTTTTTTTAGGGTTTTTTTTTGAAAACCGAATATGTTTTTGTCAAAACGATTTAGATCTATTCTCTATTGTATAAAACTAATAAAGAAAATGATCAATCGTAAAAATATTAACGTGATACTGAAGGAAAACAAGTGTGCACATCTCATTTCCCCTTTTTCGCAGCGAAATCATTCCTTTGATTTATAGACAAGTAAATGCACTAAAATACTTCGTTACGTGGTACCAATTAATAAGCATGTATCAACTATGATAGTGGCAAGGTTAATGATATGCATTGGCTATTTTAGATTACCTCACCAAGGAGTTGAATTGCGTTCAATAGATCTAAATATAACTCGATCATGCGAGATTTGGTAAGCAGGACCACCCTTTGAAGACTGAATAATACTACAGTCACCATTCTCTATACAGACAAAAAAACAATTATAAAAGAAACTAACTTTTGCGTCTTGAAAAACAATTGAAACGGAACAAGTTCGTTTATAATTTATTACGGTTTAAACCAAGTAAAAATAGAAATCCTATTTATATACACAAACTGGGATTACCAAAGTAACTAAATTAGCTTAGATTTCCGTAATATTACTCCGCAGTATGACGGAATCCCCAGAATTGTCACGATTGCAATCGGAACTAAAACGGCTATTATCATTAATCCGAAGACTGGCGGAAAAGGCCGAAAAGTTGCGATTGGCACGATTGCAGCTGGTTTCCTGTTCAATCATGCACCAACAGATGTAAGCAGGAAACCACCTAACCGGAACAAGTTTTCCAGATGAAATGGCTTGCAGCCGTGGCTGCAAGCCAAAAAGCGGACGATATAGATATATAGTGTAGACTAATTGGTGATTATTTTGGGCATTGATGAAGTTTATAAAAATGATGTGTAATTGGATTTATACTTTAATATATAAAAAAGTATTATAAATTAGCAAATTGGGAGAAATATTAAAGTAATTTATGATTGAATGTCAATGAATTTTATATTATATTTATATGACACATTTTCGGAAATTCTAAATATTGAAAACTAATATATGAAACAAATGGATCAAATGAATGTCTTTAGAATTACAATGATGGTACTAAATTGGCAACAGCTGATATGTAATTAAGGATATGTATTTCATTTTGGCATTGTTTTTGTCTGTCTTTATGTGCAGTAGGCGGACAAACTTTTTATTCGCAAAATAAAAAAAAGCCTTGATTTTTCAAAATCAAAATTTTGTAAGAGTAATTTTTAATCATAAAATTATTGATATCAATAAGTAAAGACAGGCCGTTGTTTTTTATTGATACAATATAAGCAGAAGCGTGCTGCAAATTATCGGTAATTATATATAAGTGTGAACAACACGCTATATACTGATTAATCGTGTCGGCACTTAGCTAGAGATAACATGATACGCATTTTGCGGACAATATAAATATATAGGGAAAACGCTGACGATATAGATATAGAGGAAAAAAGCGGACGATATAGAAATTTAGAGTAGACTTATTGATGATGAGGTGGGAATAAAAACTTTCATTCACATTTGTACAATGATTTTTGGACAAAAACACGCTTATTTATAAATTCATGTTTTTAAGGTAATTTTAAAGTTTAATGGTCGTTGATAAAAAGAAAAGGAAAAAAGGAAGGAGAGGAACTATATAAGTTTTCTTTCGTTCTAATCCCTTTCAATATATATATATGTAACAATTATTCACATATAAAATGTAATATATGTAAAATATTGAAATAGATATGTTTAAACTAAAAAGAAAAAGGCATGCACGTATACTGTTGTGACGAACACGTGTTGCAAATTAACGACAATTAAGTGACAACAACATGCTACCTGATTGAACCTGTCCGCTCTTTGCCCTATTTTTGCGGACAATATAAATATATAGAGAAAAAGCGGACGACATAGATATAGAGGAAAAAAGCGGGCGCTATATATATAGTGTAGAATGATGTGTGATAAAATAGATAATGATAGTGTATAGTAATATTGTGCAGTAATAAAAACGAAGATAAAGAATGAACTTCATTGCAATTTTATTTAAGCAATATATAACACATTCGGTACATGAATTTATTTTACACATACAAATAATAATATCAATGTAACAACTTAATATATGTATATAACTATAAAGAATATAACAATCACATATTATTTTAACAAAATCCCTTACTTAAGACAACAATATTAAATAGACAATGTAATACAATTTTATAGGAAAAACGATGACAATATATACAAAGCGGAAAAAATGCTGTCCAAAAATAGATTACATTTAATTTATAATAAGTATTGTTTTAAAATAATAACAATAATTAAATTAATTTTTTTTTAATTAAAAATTATAAAATCAAAAATTGTATTTTCAAACTGCAAATAACATTGATCTTAAAGTGTATCTTAATAAATGTAAAATATATTATCAAAAAGTTCGTTTTTCCTTTAAGAACATAAACCACAATAACAGTTTTCTATTCTCCCGTTTTATACATTTATTTCGTCAGCGTTTTCCCTCTATATCTATATCGTCCGCTTTTTCACTATATGTCTATATTGTCCGCATTTTCTGTAGCCACTTTATTAATTTTACAAGGGTGAGGTGTATGATTACTTGAAATATACAAGTGTCGGTGCGTGATTAAGTCAAATACACAGGTGACACGTGGATACTTTAATTAGTTGATTGGTATTTATAGCAGAAAGTTTCTTTTATTTACTTAATGGATAAAATATAAATAAAACTAAAAAATATTATGAATTAAAGAAAGATAATTGATATAACTTAATTATATACATGGTAGAAGCCAGATATTTTTTTATTTATAACAGTTTTCTATTCTCCCGTTTTATACATTTATTTCGTCAGCGTTTTCCCTCTATATCTATATCGTCCGCTTTTTCACTATAATTATGTCTATATTGTCCGCATTTTCTGTAGCCTCTTTATTAATTTTACAAGGGTGAGGTGTATGATTACTTGAAATATACAAGTGTCGGTGCGTGATTAAGTCAAATACACAGGTGACACGTGGATACTTTAATTAGTTGATTGGTATTTATAGCAGAAAGTTTCTTTTATTTACTTAATGGATAAAATATAAATAAAACTAAAAAATATTATGAATTAAAGAAAGATAATTGATATAACTTAATTATATACATGGTAGAAGCCAGATATTTTTTTATTTATAACAGTTTTCTATTCTCCCGTTTTATACATTTATTTCGTCAGCGTTTTCCCTCTATATCTATATCGTCCGCTTTTTCACTATATGTCTATATTGTCCGCATTTTCTGTAGCCACTTTATTAATTTTACAAGGGTGAGGTGTATGATTACTTGAAATATACAAGTGTCGGTGCATGATTAAGTCAAATACACAGGTGACACGTGGATACTTTAATTAGTTGATTGGTATTTATAGCAGAAAGTTTCTTTTATTTACTTAATGGATAAAATATAAATAAAACTAAAAAATATTATGAATTAAAGAAAGATAATTGATATAACTTAATTATATACATGGTAGAAGCCAGATATTTTTTTATTTATAACAGTTTTCTATTCTCCCGTTTTATACATTTATTTCGTCAGCGTTTTCCCTCTATATCTATATATCGTCCGCTTTTTCACTATATGTCTATATTGTCCGCATTTTCTGTAGCCACTTTATTAATTTTACAAGGGTGAGGTGTATGATTACTTGAAATATACAAGTGTCGGTGCGTGATTAAGTCAAATACACAGGTGATACGTGGATACTTTAATTAGTTGATTGGTATTTATAGCAGAAAGTTTCTTTTATTTACTTAATGGATAACATATAAATAAAACTAAAAATATTATGAATTAAAAAAGTTAATTGATATAACTTAATTATATACATGGTAGAAGCCAGATATGTTTTTATTTATAACAGTTTTCTATTCTCCCGTTTTATACATTTATTTCGTCAGCGTTTTCCCTCTATATCTATATCGTCCGCTTTTTCACTCTATGTCTATATTGTCCGCGTTTTCAATTTCGACTTGATGAAATATGGTATAAAGTATCATGTGTATGATTAAATTAAACACGAAAGTGCCACGTGCAGGATTATATCAAATATACAAGTGACACGTGGACAATTTATTTAAAAAAAAATTGAATCAGTATATACATAAATATATACATTTCTTACTGTTTTATTGTCTGGTAGAACATAACATGATTGTTCAAGAAAATTCATATCTTATTCAGGTTGATAAAGAATACAATGTACACAAAAAGAAAATTCGGCTAATATGTCAATTAATGTGCAATATAGAAACAAAAGTAAATTACAAATCATAGTAAATTGTATACATGTATTTTGAAAGAATGTCAATCTACACTTTATATCTATATCGTCAGCGTTTTCCCTATATGTTTATATTGTCCGCTTAAGGCGTCCGCGTTTTAGACTGTGCCTGTTCTAATTAACTTCCGGGAAAAACGAAAGTAGGATTTTTTTTGATTTTTGATATATTTAGGCGTTCAATTTAGACGGTAAGATTTGGCTTATGCGAGTTCAGAAAGTACAGAATTAATTTGTATTAGTGATCTTGTTGCAAAAACAATTAGAAATATATTACTAGATCTATGAGTGTTCAAAAATCGCTGATTTTATTTATGAAATTGTGTGAAATTTCGGATAAACTTTATTTTGGATACTGTATGTATCGTATAAGTACCTAATCTCACACCCAACCTATTCTCAAACCTTTCATGTGCTGTTATTTTTTTACTAGAAGTGATGTCCTGAACTTGTGTGCATACAAGCTTAGTTTCTGACAGACATGTCTGCTGATGTCAAATGAAAACAGTGCATAGGAACAAATATTTACATAACATATTTTATTACTTAGCGTAATTTCATACAAATTGCTATTACCTTTGTAAGTCCCATAAATACAACATGAACTATTTGTGAAAATGAATATTATAGAAAATATATCTTAAAGCAGGTAACTGCATCGTGTAGGGTACTTCATTGTCATGTGATAGTCATATAACAATCCCTTCGTTGGCTAAACTAAACAGTATAATTTTAGAGATACTTGAACGGGTTTGGGATTAGGTTCTTTATTTTAAGAGGCCATGTTAGTTTTAAAACAGAGGGTTGTGCTTTTCCAAGATGGAAATAGAGCTTTTTTAATTGTTGAATTTCAGTCAAATTTTACAGAAATGTTACATAAAGATTAAAGTGTACATATGTAAAGAATTTTTATAAAGATATATTTTTATTTACATTAAAAGACCTCTTGAATGCTTAGAGGTTTGAGAACTGGTTAGTCCACGATAAATATTGGTTCACACTTCAAACAAAATAAAATAAACACAAGCATCAAATATTTTTCGTAACATATCTTTGGTTTTTTTGTTCAAGAATTATTCCCCTCTTGAACTTGCATTTTTTTTATTAAAATTGTTATTTTTGCTCTAAATTCTTAATTTTTAACTTATTTTGAATTTAGGTTGTGATAGTCCTATAAATATGACATCGCTTTGAGATATTTTTGCTTCTGGGCAAAGCAAAAATATATATACTATAAGTTAAGAGAAGGCCGGAAACTCCAGATTCGAGTGGTCCAACTTAATGTATTTAGTAATATCATTTAGTAAATTCAAGTGATTTTAACCCGTACTCAGCTGACATACATGTATTAGTCTTAACTTATAGTATATTTTTAAAGGGGGTCATTATTATTTACATTTTTTTTTGTTTTTTTTTTTACACTTTAAGATGAACACAGGTTTTTTATCAATCTTGTCATATTTTTTCTTCCCAGGTCCGATACTCGTGCCTGTGGCTGAAAGGCAGTAGGGGATAAAGAAATAGTCTTCGTCCGTCCGTCCATACGTCCGTCCGTCTTTCTGTCTGAATTTTTGTCCGCAGCATATCTCAAAAAGTATTTGAGGTATCAACTTTAAACTTCATAGGTGGATAGACCTCTTTGAGGAGGAGTGCAGTGCACAAGAATGATAACTCTACCCTGCATAATTTTTGAGTTATTGCCTTTTGTTATTTTTCAAAATTAATTTTTGTCCAGAGCATAACTCAAAAAGCCTTTGAGATATTAACATGAAACTTCATAGGTGCATAGATCTCACTCAGGAGGTATGCAGTGCACAAGAATGATAACTCTACCTTTCATAATTTTTGAGTTATTGCCCTTTGTTATTTTTCATACTTAATTTTTCACCTGAGTGGAGCTTAACTCAAAAATTGTTGAAACCTACCCTGCATTATTTTTCAGTTATTGCCCTTTGTTATTTTCAGCCGTCGGTATTCACATGGGTTTCAAATCTGTTATCACCTCAGCCATCAGTTTTCATTACCAAAAGACCTCTTAAAATTGAATTATTCTGCTCTACTACATATACATTCTTCCACTGAGCAAACACATTTGGCGGGGGATGGCCATGTTGACATGGCTCTTGTTTCTCCTGATTTACTAGCATAGTAACGGTACCAAAATAGACATCATAAGTTAAAGCATTTTCATCTTTAGGAAAATATATTTTCGAATATACATCAAATAAAGACATGAAATAGACCAAGGTTTTTTCACAATTAATATTTCTTTGTTTATTAATTGCTCTAACTTATTTGTTCATCATGTTTGAATAAATGTAATAAATACGTTCACACATAATTATTGATGTTTATATAATCATTCATTATCACTATTATGTATAAAAGCCTTAACTGGGGCAATTAAATTACCGACTAATTTTAGCCTAATAATGTTTTCATCAAACTTTATTATATGGTTCATAGTCTTCATTATTTGGGTAAAGTTTTATTAATTTGTAAATATGAAATAACTAATTATTTATACTTTTTTTGAAAATCTTTTTTTAATGTGTGTAATAAATATATCATTTATAGACAAAAGGGAAAATAAAAGAAGCAAAATATTGTCTAATAGTAATAATAATTTAATTTTATAAAATATTCTCTGAAAATCAATTTTGGGGCCGGATTGACCAATTTTTTTGGGCAGGATTGACCAATTTTGGGGCCGGGTTAACTGATTTTGGGGCTGAATTGACCAAACAAAAATAATTTTGGGGCCGGATTGACTTGAGGCCGGGTAAACTTGGGGCCGGGTTGACTGTAATTCCTGTCAAGATATATAACTCTGTTTACATTTTCTTGGCACTATTTTCTGGCCTTAACTGAATGAATGGGTAAATTTTTTTTGTTGAAATATTGTTACTGACAAGAATCTGAGCCGGGTGTATTTGTGTTTAACAAATACATTCTTGTTTTTGTTTGGAATAGTTCTTAAAGATGGCAACATTTGAGCGATGTACAGATAACCAGTCTACTAGTGATGGTGTCCAGCACAGAAAATATCCGCTGATACGTCTGGAACCATCCATAAAGAAATTCCTCAAAGTTATACAGATTGACTTGGCAAGACTGCATAGGCATAGACTTAATGTGGAGAAGGTGACAATTATTTACACTGTCATTAAATAACTGAAGAAAAGAAATAAACATGATAACTATAATTGCCTCACAGATTTTAATAACTGATATGATATTTACTGTGATCAACTAAGAACAAAAAAAAAACAACATATTATAACACTGCATGTTTGTAACATCATTTTTCATTGAATAATCGTGACGTTTATATAGTTTTATATACACTGTTGCTGTCGATTCATGAAGAAATCTTACTTTTTTCTCTAAAAATGATGCTTGCTGCATTATAAATTCGTTATAAAGATTGTTGACAGGTTATATGTCCGGATATAAATGGCTGTTTGCAAAATAATCCTTGCCTAACGGCTCGGGTTATATTTACAAATAGCCATTTATATAGGGCCATATAACCTGTCAACGATCTTTATAACTAATAATATAAATGAGAAGACAACATTAAAACTTTATTTCAAGGAATGTTGTTGTAATTTGGAATTATGTTTCAGTATAACAGGCTACAGGACTGGAGTGACTTGCACACAGAACAGATAAATGCAACAAGAACCATTCAACAAATCAAAGCAAACATTCATGAAATAGAAAAATCAAGGCTTCAAGTTAATGAGGAAGATTTGGAAAAGTTTGACAACAGAATAAATGACATGAAACATGGTGCAATCAAGTCAGTTGATGAATTTGTGAGTCTGGCAAAAGGATTTAAATGTAAGTGAATTGTAATGATTTAAGTGTACAAATATCGTAATTGTACTTCAGTGTAATGTAGTAGTTTAAGTGTACACATATTTTAGGTTGTTAAAGAATGTACCGTAAAATTTGTAATAAACGCCCTTTCCCTAATAAAGGCCCCCCAGGCCTTTTGATAAGGAAAACAATCTACTCATCAGTGCTGAACTCATAATTAAAGCCATAATTTTATTCAAATCATTTAGAATCCATTTTATTTTATAGTAAACACAAATATGTATAAATATATTGGAATATGTTTAACCCCCGGGGGCGTTTAATAGGAATTTTAAGGTACGTACATTGTAGGTTGTTATGGAATGTACATACATTGTAGGTTGTTATGGAATGTACATACATTGTAGGTTGTTATAGAATGTACAAACATTGTAGGTTGTTATGGAATGTACACACATTGTAGGTTGTTATAGAATGTACATACATTGTAGGTTGTAATGGAATATCATACATTATAGGTTGTTATGGAATGTACAAACATTTAGGTTGTATTGAAGTGTACTAATATAGCTGGTTCTAATATGTTAAATACAAATAAAGCAGATTTATCTTGTAATCGACAGCAGGGTGTAATGTTCAGTATCATTGCAAGGAGTAACATTAATTGGCTGTTGAGACATGGTTCTGTAAATAAAGCTGTAGACTAAATGACAAGCACAGTCTATAGATGAGTTTAAATATCTTAGACTCCAAGTGTAAATAGCTCAATGATTTTACCATATGATGTTATTATTTTCTAGTCGGATAATAGAAGTTTTGTATGGTCAAAATTGTCCTTTTTTGCTGTTTTTGTTAAAGTAATTCTCTAACAAAATAAACACAGCTCTGTATGGAGTAATTGCTTGTTATCCTCCCCCTGTTTTAAATTAATAATGCTATAAGTAATACTGTTATGTTTTAAAGTTATAAACTAGTTCATGTATGGAAACAGTGAAAGGAACATGATTTTTTCAGGTGATGGTAGAAATTCCAGCTCTGATAGTTCACCATGTGATGAAAACAAATTATTATCCATTGGTTCCTCAGATGAACTTTACCAAAATCAAGTGCAGTTGAATGAACCACCTGAAAATACTCAGGTAGCTGAGTCATGGGAAAATCTGCAAGAGGTATAAGTTCATTTTAAGCCAAAAAGATACTGTTGTAGTTGCCGATTAACAATGGCCGGACCTAGGGGTCACTTATTTTCTTTTTGATTGAGTCAGGGAGCTCTTTGGATGCACAAGGGAGCACTTTGGATGTATCAGGGAGCTTTTTGATTGACTCAGGGAGCTCTTGATATGTTTTAGAGAGCTCTTAGAATATATAAAGGAGCTTTTTGAATGTTTCAGTGCGCACCAAGAATGTATAAGGGAGCTCTTAGAATGTATAAGGGAGCTTTCTGAATGTATCAGGGAGCACCTAGAATGTATCAGGGAGCACCTAGAATATATAAGGGAGCACCTAGTTTAAACATATTTTATTCATAGTACATAATATACAATCATTCAATATATACAATGATGAAATGGATTAGAACGAAAGATATAAAATCTTAGAATGTACACGTGAGCACCTAGAATGTATAAGGGAGCTTTCTGAATGTATCAGGGATCTCTAAGAATGTATCAGGGATATCTAGGAATGTAAAAGGGAGCTCTTTGAATGTAACAGGGAGCACCTAGAATGTATCAGGGAGCACCTAGAATGTATCAGGGACCTCTAAGAATGTATCAGGGATATCTAGGAATGTAAAAGGGAGCTCTTTGAATGTATCAGGGAGCACCTAGAATGTATCAGGGAGCACCTAGAATGTATCAGGGAGCTCTAAGAATGTATCAGGGACCTCTAAGAATGTATCAGGGATCTCTAAGAATGTATCAGGGATATCTAGGAATGTAAAAGGGAGCTCTTTGAATGTATCAGGGAGCACCTAGAATGTATCAGGGAGCACCTAGAATGTATCAGGGACCTCTAAGAATGTATCAGGGATCTCTAAGAATGTAAAAGGGAGCTTTTGAGAACTATTTGAATGTATCAAGGAGGTTTTTGAATGTTTGGTTGTATTATTATTCTGTGTACTAATGTTAACCTTTGGTATTAAATATTTATTTAAGTATAAGTATATTAGCATCCCTTCATTGCTGTCAAAAGAAATTTCCAGTCACACTTTTCTTGTCTAAATTTTTCGAATTTTCATGATTCAGTAACGTTATTTTATTGTTTCAGAATTTAGAAGAATTAAATGTAATGATACATCAGTTTGCTTCAGCTGTTAAGGTGAGCTTAAAATTATTTTTTTTATTTTATAATAATTAAATTAATAATTAACAAATAATTATGATAATTAAATTTATTATTATGATAGAAAAATGTCTGAATTTTAAATACATTGTATTGAAAAGGTTAGTATTAGTCAGTAAGTGTAAGTTGTGTCAGATTTTAACTTACACAAATGAACGAATTTGTAAATGTACTCAAAAGTCATACGCAACAGTTATTTTATATTTTAAGATAATATTTATCTGGTTAATTATGTGTCTAGATAGGAAATGTTGCTGATTGTTTGAGAATTTGTTTTAGACACAACAAGAGAATATAGACAGTATAGAAGATAATGTAGAACAAGCTCATATATCTGTCCAAGACGGGACCAAACATCTGGCCAAGGTAATGTCCATATTAACCAATACTCATTATACACAGTAATAGTTTCTGACTTTTCCTAGTAAATAATCTCAAGGGAGCGATATTATTTTATTATTTATTTTTGTTGGCAAACATTATAAAATTGTCATGATAGCTGTTACTAGACAGGTGATGTTTGATATTGCATTTTTTTAAAAATGTTTTATCATTTGCTAATAATTAAAAAAATCTCATTTGACTTTTAATGTTTTCCTTTACTGAAGTACGAGATCTTTTAAAATGTACAGTTTTATTTTTTTTACAGGCAGCTAAATATAAAGCAGCTGTTTTGCCAATAGCTGGTGCAGTAGTGGGTACAGTGTTAGCAGGACCTGTAGGGTTAGTTGCTGGAGCCAAAATTGGGGGATTATTGGGTGTGGCTGGAGGAGGACTGGCAGGTATATTTATATAAGGATATTTCATTCTATTGGCAATAGCTGGATAAGGGTAAATGAATTAGTACCACTTTGTATGGACTTATTTAGGCTAAATTTTTTATTTTATAATAGATACATGAGGATACACTACAGCCTCATTATAACACTCATGTTGGGGTCCAATGTCTCAACACCGTGTTCTATATATATAACACTGACGATTACTTACTGTTTAATTAATATCGACATTATCTTTTTCTAAAACAATTCAATGATGTAAACATATATTATATTCACAAATAATACTAAATATATTTAAAAGAAACAAAATACTTTCGAAAGAAAAACATAAATCATGAATGTTGTGTAAACAGTTAGCCATTACAGTCCAGCTTTAGTTGTGTCCCCTAGTTAATCAAACGCCATTTACTTCCTGTCACGGTCGTTCAATTTACAGTGCAGGATTTTAAATTGATTTTGGGCTTGTGTGGGTTATTTAATTCAGCGAGGTTTACATGTCACAGATATGTGTGTGAATTTTAGTTTATTTATACTCACCACCGGTTGCCCATGTCACAGTTATGATATGAATTTGAGATTTTGGAAACAATTTGATGCCTGACTGATGGACAGGTAAAACAACAAAAGAGCGGATAAATGCTAACCTGGGCATGTTTTTCACACCTTTGGCGCTCATAAATGTCCTAATTACAATTGTTTATTGTACTTGACTGTCAAATTGAACAAGCGTTTTTTTTTTGGGAGCCAAGGTCTATGAGCGCTATACTGAGATTAGCGTTATAACGGAGAGCGATATATCGAGGCTACAGTGTACTTACATTAAGGTTTTAGAAAGTACGTATATGCAAAAAGTATCACTAATAGTTTACTGAAAGCAATAATATGACAAAAACAAATAAAGGAAACAGTAATGTGTTTTTTAAGCTTGTCTGTTTTAATAAAAAGTTTAGCTGTTATAAGATTGTTGTTGTTGTCTTTGTTCAATAGCTTTAATGAAGCCCATCTCTCAATTTAAAAAGTATGAACACAAAACTTGGAGTACCTTATTATCATGATATGATGTAGTTGTAAAACAAGGGACATAATCTTGAAAGCAATATTTTAGGAGTTACATATATGTCCCTTTTTAACTTAGAACAGAATTATTTCAAAACAATTAATGGTATAAACAAACTTAGAATTCTTTAATTATTATACCCCCGCACAACAAAGTTGTAAGGGGGGTATACTGGAATCAGCTTGTTCGTCCGGCTGTCCGGCCGTCCGTCGGTTTTTTCTTGTCCGCCCAATAACTTAAGATTCTTTTGACCCACAGTCTTCATAATTGGCATGGAGGTTAGTCATGATGAGTAGATGACCCCTATTGATTTTGAGGTCACCAGGTCAAAGGTCAAGGTCACAGGGGTCTTGACTTCAAAAAGCTTGTCCGCCCAATAACTTAAGATTCCTTTGACCAACAGTCTTCATATTTGGCATGGAGGTTAGTCATAATGAGTAGATGACCCCTATTGATTTTGAGGTCACCAGGTCAAAGGTCAAGGTCACAGGGGCCTTGACTTCAAAAAGCTTGTCCGCCCAATAACTTAAGATTCCTTTGACCCACAGTCTTCATATTTGGCATGGAGGTTAGTCATGATTAGTAGATGACCCCTATTGATTTTTAGGTCACCAGGTCAAAGGTCAAGGTCACAGGGGCCTTGACTTCAAAAAGCTTCTCCGCCCAATAACTAAAGATTCCTTTGACCCACATTCTTCATATTTGGCATGGAGGTAAGTCATGATTAGAAGATGACCCCTATTTATTTTGAGGTCACCCAGGTAAAAGGTCACAGGGGCCTTGACTTCTAAAAAGCTTGTCCGCCCAAAAACTTAAGATTCCTTTGACCCACAGTCTTCATATTTGGCATGGAGGTTAGTCATGATAAGTAGATGACCCCTATTGATTTTGAGGTCACCAGGCCAAAGGTCAAGATCACAGTGGCCTTGACTTCAAAAAGCTTGTCCAGGTCACAGGGGCCTTGACTTCAAAAAGTTTGTCCGCCCAATAACTTAAGATTCCTTTGACCTACAGTCTTCATATTTGGCATGGAGGTTAGTCATGATTAGTAGATGACCCCTATCAATTTTGAGGTCACAAGGTCAAAGGTCAAGGCCACAGGGGCCTTGACATCAAAAAGCTTTTCCGCCCAATAACTTAAGATTCCTATGACCCACAGTCTACATATTTGGCATGGAGGTTAGTCATGATTAATAGATGACCCCTATCGATTTTGAGGTCACCGGGTCAAAGGTCAAGGTCACAGGGGCCTTGACTTTAAAAAGCTTGTCCGCCCAATAACTTAAGGTTCCTATGACCCACAGTCTTCATATTTGACATGGAGGTTAGTCATGATTAGTAGATGATCCGTATTGATTTTGAGGTTACTGGGTCAAAGGTCAAGGTCACAGGGACCTTGTCAAAATAAAGCTTTTCCCCTCAATTGCTTCAGAATGCCTATCCAGAGTGTATTGATTTTGACATTTTCACATTTGAAGCATGTAGAATACATAACTTAGCAATGCACTGGCTTAGTAACCTCAGATTTGGCAGGGAGGTTGTCCTTGAGTTCTAAATGGCCACTGTTGATTCTGACAAAGTGGTATGCGGGGGAATTCACGCCATGATAGTGGCAGTTCTAGTTATGATTGCATATAGTTGAATGACAAGGGGCATTTTTCTGAAAGAACATATGCCTCTTTTTAATTAAATAGAATTTTAATTACAGTTGCATAAAAAGAGGGATTGGTCATGACAAGGAACATTCAACAGCAGTTAAACAAGGGGCATTATCCTTTAAGCAATATTTTTTGAGTTATGCCCCATTCTAACTTAGAATATTCACACCACATGCTGCCCTCTTGTATTTAAAAGGAGGAATGCTTTGCATTTGTCTGTCGGTCGGTCCATTGGTCCGTAGACCAGATGGTTTCCGAGTGATAACTAAAGAATGCTTAGGCCTAGAAACTTCAAACTTCGTATGATGATTGTTCATGACCAGTAGATGACCCCTATTGATTTTGGGGTCAAGGGTCAAGGTCACATTGACCTTGTTGGTAAAAACGGTTTCCAAGTGATAACTAAAGAACGCTAAGGCCTAGGAACTTCAAACTTGGTATGATGATTGTTCATGACCAGCAGATGACCCCTATTGATTTTTGGGTCAAAGGTCACATTGACCTTGTAGGTAAAAACAGTTTCTGAATGATAACTAAAGAACATTTAGGCCTTGGAACTTCAAACTTGGTATGATGATTGTTCATGACCAGCAGATGACCCCTATTGATTTTTGGGTCAAAGGTCACATTGACCTTGTAGGTAAAAGCAGTTTCTGAATGATAACTAAAGAACGTTTAGGCCTTGGAACTTAAAACTTGGTATGATGATTGTTCACGACCAGCAGATGTTCCCTATTGATTTGGGGTCAAAGGTCAAGATCACAATGACCTTATAGGTAACAAAGCTTTCTGATCAATATCCCAACTTATGGACCCTTTACCTTCAAACTTCACAGGTGCACTGGTCTTGGCCAGTAGATAACCCCTATTGATTTAAGGGTCAAAGGTCAATGTCATATTGACCTTGTATGTAAAGACTGTTTCTGACCAATAACTCAACAACTAAAGTTGCCTTGGTTGATATTTTTTTATTAAACTAAAAGTCCTTTCAAGGTCGTTTGTAATATAACAACTTGGCTGTCATTAATGATGCCTACATGATTCATAAATTTTATGCATATATTATTTGGTAAGATTTGTAATAACTTTGTCATAAAATTGCTGCACATAACCTTTGCAGTCAAAATTACATAGTGACTAGTCATGACCAGTAGTTAACCCTTATTGATTTTTTGGTCACTAGGTCAAAGTCAGTCATAATAACCAGGTCACATGACTAATTGGCTGCTGATAGGGGGCATACATGTTTTGCAAACATATCTTGTTATGATTAGATTGTTTCATAATCAAATTTTATTCTGTTGTGTGTAAAATACATCAAATACTGAGACATTTAGTTCTGTTCTTGTTACTGGTGACATTTGTTAAGGATTTGATGGTAAAGATATGCCTAAACTTAAAATTGGTCATCATGTGGCAAAAATTATCAGCTCATAGTTTCAAATACCTTTTTGTCTTATTCAGATATTACCAGATGATTTTTGCAAATCAGACAAAAATCTCTCTTACATCTCCCATTTAAGTCAAGCTGCATGCTGTTAATGATGTCATTCCCGAGTGTCTTTTTATGAATGAATAGAATGACATTTTTTTTTACCGTTATGAATGAAGTTGTAAATTCATACGCTACCATAAGAAAAAAGCGCTAAATAAATATATTTGTTTTCGTAATTAACATGTAATATGCAAGAAAAAGAATCAAGCACCAGCTGTTGTTACAGACCATCATGACTTAAAAGTTGCTTTGTGATCAATAGGTCTTGTTAAGATGAAAGACTTACACAGAACTTTTTTTTAAATAGAAGATAATACCTTGCCAAGCATATCATCTTTGTTTGTTCTTTAAGACACATGGCATTTGTGTAAATAATGGTGTTTATTTCTTATTCAGGATTTTTGAGTGGAAGGTATATTAAAAAAAGGAGAGACAAAGTAACAGAAATAGAACTCTCAAAATTAAGTAGGTCAAATTCACTACCAGATGTACATGCAGAAAATGGAATGGGCACTTCATGGTTCCCAGACTGGGGGAGAAAAAGGAACCAGTCAACAGCAGACGTATTGGACAACACTTAGATGACAGATATGTACTGAAGGAATGGACATGGTGGCTCAAATTTTAGTTGTGATATACCTTATTTTAGTGCTTCAGTTGACTGATACTCATTTATTCTAAAACATTGTTTGTGTGACTTTGTTTCAACTTTATTATTAATCAATGTATTTGGTTTATACTTGGACAAAACAACATTGAATAGTGGGTAATTTGAATATTACTGTAGCCTTTTAGGAAGACTTCCATCAATAAAAGCTTCTCATGAATGGTAGTAAGGATAAGTCAAATGTAGGCCTGCTTTGTGGTGGCTCTTGTTTTAGGAATAAAAACCATTTGCAGGGGGTATTTACATTCAGTGATAGTTCTAGTTTATTATTTGTTATGTGCAATATTTAGACATATGAGTTAGGTTTTTTTGGATACAGATATGTATTTATTTCAATTAATTCTTTTATTTAATAGTAACTTCATTTATTTCTAAGATTAATATTGTTACAAAAGGATGGCATTGACTCCTCCATCTTCCTTTTTTTATTTAAGATACAAAATTTATGTAATCATTTTACCTTGTGTTTTGCCTATTACACATGAATCACCTTATATATTTATTTTTCTTCCTTGAAGGTTTAGGAAAAACTTTGGATTTATATAAATTTATCATGTTTTATGATTTCTGCAATTTCTTTTATGATGTTAGGAAGATTTTGAGCTCACCTGAGCTGGCTTAGGGTGAGCTTTTAGGATCATTGAATGTCCTTCATCTGTTGTTCTTCCACATTTAGTTTGTTAACACTTTGTTGCTTATTTTTTACCCCAATTGTCACCAAACTTGGTCTGGATGTTTGTCCCAGTGATTGCTCAGACTTAAGTTCAAACATAGGCCATCTCGGATGAAAAACTAGGTCACAGGAGCCAAAAGTAGAAAAATCTTGTTACTAATCTCAAGGCTACTGTGTCAGTCCAAATATCCTTGAAATAGGTCCGAAAGGTTGTTTAGATGGTTCCTTACTCATGTTCAAATATGGATCAAATAGGGCCCAAATGTGGAAAATCCTTGTTTACACTCAGAGATAACATTTTAAGCTTTACTATCCTAGATATTGGTCAGAAAGATTGTTTTGGTGATTTCTAGCTCAAGTTCAAATATGGGTCATCTGCAGTGGTCAAAAACTACGTCACACAGCCCAAATATGGGTAAACCATTTTAATACTGAAAAAATTTTCAGCCCAAATATCTTGGAAATTTTTCAGCAAGGTTGTTTAATTGATTTCTAGCTCATGTTTGAATTACAGTCATCTTGGGTAAAAACTAGATGACATAGCTCAAATATTGAATACTGATTGTTTATATTTGCACTATTTCAGATGCTAATATGAACATAATGACATCAGTTTAAGCCATTATATCTGCTTTTATCTCATAGTTAACAACAATAATTGTTTCATTAAAAGCCTTATTAATCATGGCCCTCTTATAGTGTCAATTTTAGATGGCCAATGTTTAGACTTTGTTATCCTTGTCAATAAAATAGAAAAAGATGGGATAGTGAAAGGTCCTTTGGTCCCTCATTTCATCCAACATCATATTTTAAAACTTGTTGATCTTTATCTTATTATGATGACATATCTCTTGACATTTTTCCAGTGCACATGCTTAAAACATTCTAGAAATTATTGGTACTTGATTTGATTAGATTACTAAAGATTGTTACAGGATCTGATGAAGTCTTGTACCTTTGGATTAAATCCGTATGAAGTGCATTCCAGTGGAATTTAGTGCAGTGCAGGGTACTGTTTTTAGATAATTCATTTCTTGTGTAAATAAATTGTGTAATTGCTTTAGAGCCACATAGGGTTTAAGGTCAAGGTCACTGTTACTTAAAATAGAAAATTTGGTTTTGGGTCAATAACTTTGAGTTTAGAATCTCACAAGACATTAGTTGCATTGCCAAATAAAATTTGCAGGGTAAATATGTCCATATCAATGTATATCAATGTAGAGCAGCATTTATCTGCTCCTGAAAATTTACTATAAGAAGGAAACATATAAAGGAAAACAATTTAAGTCTGTTGAAACTAAAATGCCCAGACCTTGGCTATTTTGCATGTGACACCACATAGACCTCTACAAAAGTTATATAAAAATCATGCCTCTAGTGACAAAAAATGGATTGTCCCTGGGGGACACTTAGTTTATACAGACATGTATAGGAAACTTATCTTAAAAATATTCTCTAAACCACATTGCACAGAGTATAAATATTTGGCATGTAGGGAGTTATATCGATCATGACCAGTCAAATTGGCCCTGCCACTGGGGTCACTTAGTTTATATAGACTTATACTCTTATAGAACTCTTGTGTGCTAAATAGTGCAGAAAACTGCAACTACAACCAAAAATGCTTGAAGTATAAGTCTGCAACCAAAATGTGCTTGAAAGAGATATTTTTGTGTATTGAACGTTATCTTCGGACTTGCGAACTAAACCATTTGTACAGCATTGACAGAAACATATTTTGTTATTGTTAAATGCAGTTCAAAACTTTCAAATTCGAATAAATTAGAAGAAAAACCGACCAGAACAGTCACATGTCAAATATCAAAATATCAACATGATCAGTTTATATCTTCAATAACTCCGTCAAAACAGAATCTAGGATGCTGAAACCTTTTACCGAGTGTGGCATATATATTGCATTATGGAATAGACATACTAATAAACTTCAAAATAACAAAGAAACCCACTTGCCTGGCAAAAATTCGTTCACCCGTTTCAAAAAATCACGCTGTGTTCGCCATTTTGTCAAGTTTGCAACCAATTCGCTCGCTTGAACCAAGTGTGCAACCACTTCACGTCCTGCCCCTTGTGTCAGCATCAGCCAGTCTTATTACTTTTTTCTGCTTTAGGGAATTTTAACTTTTTCTAGTAATGTATCTCAGGTAAGCAATCTAGGGCCATGATGGGCCTCTTGTTTACTGAAAAATACCTGTTGATGGTTTTGTATTTATGTTCTCTTCCATTACCATTGAAAATTATCATCACATGTCTTAAATTTTGACAGAAATATGTTGCTCTGTTAACTTAGAAAATTCCTGGTTTCTTCATGTAACATTTATCTTCAAAACTACTGAAGGTTTCACTCGATCTTTGGGATCATAATTGAAGGTCACAATCCAAGGCCCATAACTCCGACATGGATTTTGACTGAATTACTGCCCTTTGGTCAAAGTTTACTGACAGCTCTTGTTATTTATATGATTACTTATAATAAACCTTGATACTAAGTAAAAACATAGATGTTTGTCTAAAGTATACCTTTTTAACTTGGAGTATAAAGTTTTCTGTTGATTTATTCAAAATATTATTGGAAATAGATATATCATTTATTTTCTTATAATGAGTACATGTAATCTAACATATATTTTTTTGCATTGATAAAATTATGAAATGAAACTTTTGATTTAGCAAGATTTGTTATTGCTACTTGGGGAAAAAATAAGGTAATTGTAATCCTACTTTTTAGCTCACCTGTCAAAATGTGACAAGGTGAGTTTTTGTGGTTGCTTTTCGTCCTGTGTCAGTCTGTCCGCACTACCAAATAGGGGTAGGAGGCCATCTAACTGTAAACAGAACAAAAGAGAACAATAGAGTTCATTCTGTTACAATACAGTAAGGGACCATTCTCCCTCTATTAAACAAAAGAAAATAACAAAAGAATTGGCCCCTTATTCCATTTTGGCTGGATGTCCGTCCGTCTGGTGGCTGTTAACTTTTACTTTAAACAACATCTCCTCATAAACTGCTAAGCCAATTTCACACAAACTTCACAGGAATGTTTTTTTGGTGGTCACCTTTGGATATTGTTCAAAGAATTAATAATTTCATGCGTTCTGGTTTCCATGGCAACCAAAAGAAAAACCTTAAAAAATCTTCTTTTTAAAAAAACCCAAAGAGCTAGAGCTTAGATATTTGGCATGAAACATCTTATAGTGGATGTCTACCAAGTTTGTTCAATTAATAGCCCTGGGGTCAAAATTTGCAAGCCCTGGAGGATCATTGATTTTCCTTATATGTATATAGTAAAAACTTAAAAAATCTTATTTTAAAAAAAAAACAAAGAGCTAGAGCTTTGATATTTGGCATGAAAAAACATCTTCTAGTGGGTGTCTACCAAGTTTGTCCATTTAAAAGCCCTGGGTGTCAAAATTGGCCAGCCCTGGGGTCATTGATTTTCCTTTTACGTTTATCGTAAAAACTTAAAAAAAATCTTCTTTTGAAACACCCAAAGAACTAGATATTTAGCATGAAAAATCTTCTAATGGGTGTCTACTAAGTTTGTTCAAATAAAAGCCCTGGGGTCAAAATTATTCTTGTTCATGGAGAGATTTTATATTCAGGTGAGCGATTTCAGGGCCATCATTGCCCTCTTGTTTTGTATATTTTCCTCACTTCTGGTGAAATGTGTTCCTACTTGAGAGATCACCTGACAGCCTGATAATATAAGAAGATTACAATGTATATATAAGAGATTTTTACCGTGCAGTTGGGATATATAAATTCATTGAAGTTACTTGTTTATATTTTGCTCTAGAGACATTTTTGATGTGTTCATATTTATTCCCCAACATTTTTTCTTGACAAAAATCAGTTTTATTATAATACAAATTGTTCAGAAAAACATACTGATCGAGATTGTGTATGACATGAAAAAGCACTATATAGACCATTTATATTGCAATAATTTTGTTCTTTTATGTTTCTATCATATTTATTATATTCCGATGCCTAGTGGCCATACCTGGTAGAAAAGTCTTAGTCTTATACTGTTTTTTGGCCTACTACAGAATAGCTGTAACATATAGGAATATTCTCTGTCTGTCTGTCTGTCAGTCATAAAAATTGTCCAGACTACTCGTAAAAAACTACTGATGCAATTCATCCAAACTTTACAGAAACGATTAGTACCTAGTCTAGTGCTGCATATTCTTTGCAATGTCTGGTTCAATGATTTGAACCTTTCATGATTTTTTTTTATAAAGTTTTGTCTGGTCTTCTTCTCTGATACAGCTTATGCAATTTGAGTGAATCTTTGCAGGATTGATTGGTGCCTCTAGTACTTTAGCATATTTAAAGGGTTTTCTGGTTGAATGATTTTTGACTGAATTATAGCCCTCGAAAAATAAAAGATAGTGTTTTGGCTTGTTAACGAATGTTGTGTCTCCTGCTACACAGTAGGTGCAACACACAATTTGGCTATCATCAGGCGACACATGTGATCACTGATTGCTCTTGTTATAGTAGAGAAAGCCTAAAGTCTTGCGAGGGTAGACTGCCAACGTCCCGCTCTCAGTTGGTCTTACTGTTTCCACTTGACTACACCAATGTCAGCTTGTCATAGATCAATGTCCATACAATGCAAGCCACAATTTTCACCAATTAATTGTATTGTTTTTGTTCTAAATGATGTATAAGGTATTCTCCCTGAACAATCAGAAATGCTTGTATTATATAGACTGTCACATTCAAGTTAAATACAAGAATCGTGGTTTGTATTTTCCTTTTCATTTAAAAGAAGTATTTGTATTTCTTCTCCTGTCT